AACGAAAATGAAAATTTGCTTGATAATTCAACTACGCTTGTTGGAGAACAATAAAAACACTACACTCAACAAGCCACCAATAAAACTCAACTGCCTAACCTATAACCAAAGTCTCCTTTTAATTTGTTTTTTAAAAAAAGCGCTTGACAAACTTGCCCCGCATGCCGAAGTTGCCCCGATCTCCCCTAAATATAATTTACGATATTTTTAAGTAAAACGAATTTACCTTTCTCAGTGCTACAGATTTTGTTTGATAATCTATCCATTCGGATTCTTGTATTATATCTTTAAATGCGTATTTTACTTCTTTCACCATTTCTAGAATCTATAATAAGATGCACAATAATAATAATTATATCAATAATTATTTCCACAGTTAACGGATATTCTAAAATATAAAATTTTTTACATTCTATTTAAATTACATATTATTCATGTTAAATTTTAAGTGAGAACATTCTGGGACGAAAAGATATTGAAATGCTGTAATAATTTGGAATAAAAATATTCTAGTGGAACAAGCAATTATTTATTGTGACATTATCACAATGCCGAGTGTCAATTTTTAATCATATTTTTAATTTATTTAATTTAAAATGTATACTCTCCACCTTAAATTAGTACTGTAGTGTCTTGCCCCTGTACATCATACTTTTCCGTTAGCAATGGAGTCGTGCCGGTCTTCTATTAACTGCTTTTAGGAGAAACTTTTTGAATCAAAATAACATAACTTCCGGTTTGCATCGAAAATTCGTATATAGTTAATCGGGGCCTTCTTTCCACGTGGTTTTCATATCTGGTCTTGTTATTCCTCTACGTAACTATATTCTCGAAATTAAGGAACGACAGGCGGACAAACGGACGACAGTGGAAATTTATTGATCTACAATTTTTTGAAATTGCAGCCCAATAAAACAACCATTAATAACGTGTAACATGTGAGTGCGGTTTATGGAAGAGTTCGTAAGGTGTTAAATTCTTGTCAGGCAATATCTGACTGTTGTCTGAAGGTACGTACTATATAATACAGTACTACAGGTACAATGTCTAATGTAAAATAATTAACAATGTAAAATTTATATCACACAGATACCTTGTACAAAATTTTTTTATAAATAAAAAGTTACATCGAGGTAGGAAAAGCGTTTGATCCGAAAATTTTAATGTTGTATTGTTTTAGGGAATTTTTTTTAGTACTGTATATTATATGAAGAATAACGTCGAAATTATATATTTATATTACACAGTAGATTTGGTATTATGCATGTCGACAATAAATTAAAAATCGTTATGAAAATGTGCATCAGGAGTTTAAACGAATTTTTGTAAAAAACAATTTTGTTAATACTGTGTAATAATAAACATTGTTTAGCCAACAGACGATGGACACCAGCCCGAAACGCGTATTGGCACAGTTAGTTTAAAGACTGTAAAGCACATAGAAGAATGAATTAGATATGAAAAAAATCTAGTGTCTAATATCAACATCTTACATAGTCTTGGTAAATTAATTAAGTGAAAATAATGAGGTAACATACGGAAGTGGATATGCACTATAGATCTAGATATGTAATTACAACACGATTTCTAAATATGTGTCATGGAAATAAATTTATGAGAGAAAATTACGCAGATGACTAGAAATGATCGAGAGAGAATGTCTTAGAAGTAAGAAACACTATTTAATCATTATTTATTTTAAGAATGTCTAGAGATTGAATATAAAAAACATTAAAAATTATTGACATCTTTATGGATTACTCGATCCACTTATACCTAGATTTATCATAACAGTCTATTTAATAGACAATTCAAACTTCTCAAAATTATTCTTGTTAGAAATAAGATTAAGAGGACGATTATAAAAAGAAAGTGAAGAAAAGGAACTGAGGCAACAACGGCAAAAAATTAAATAGAGATTGGGCAGAACGGGTAGAATAGGTAAAAATGGATAATTGACGATGTAAAAATATAGTTATTATCAAATACAGAAATTCCAGTCAACAGGTTGCTTAACTTCCAGGCTGTTAAAAAATAACTTTTAAAGTATATTATTAATTATAATAAATAAAATTGTGTGGTGCTATCTGTTATAAGATTTTATTATAAAAAATTTTTATATTTTTAATTATTATAAAATGACAAAAGGCTTAATTTTGAGGGTAGTGATGAATTTCATATAAAATTTTAAATGCTAATAACGAATAAAATCTTCATTAAGTCCAACTTCTTTCGACATGTGACTCGTGACCAGCCACTATTTTCCCGCCCCCTCGACCTTTATCCACGAAAATTTAATAATATCAATATTCCTTACCAAACTACCATTTCAAATTTCGTTTCTTGATCATTACCCCATACTGAGATATTAAACGAAATAGACGCTAACACACATACACACACGGAATTATTTTTTGTTTCTTTGACTTTTTGGTTTAAGGGGTCTTAAAACGTGGAAATTTACAAAAACTCGGAGGGTCAAATTTGACACGATTCGAATATTTTCCCTGTTGTTTTGTGTACATAAGAGCTGGGAAAGTAAAAGTAATTTAGGATTAATTGCCTTCAAGGTATATTTATCCATTTCACGTTCCGACAAGAAATTTTTGAGTAGAATGGATGAGATTTCGAAGTTATTTCATTTTATTTTTATTTTTTGGGATTAATTCCTTCTCTTTATTAAGAGAGTGAGTCAAAAAAGTGAGAATGAATTTATTACACATGAAATACAGTAAGTAGGATGCAAGTTGATATGGCCTTTTTCAATGTTTCCATCGAGTTGTATGCAGTTGGACCAATATGTCTGCCAATTTTGGAAGATGTGCTGGAACTAGTTTTTTGAAATCGTCTTCGACTTCTTCAGAACGGCCGTTGATGAGTCGAAATACGGGCTCCACAACTATAATTCCAGATAAGAGATAAAAACAGTCTCACGGAGCAAGGTTCGTTTGTATACAGGGTATGGCACACATTCAATGTTTGATAGTTTGATACGCATTCGTGGCGAAAAAAAAGGCTAATGTTCGTTCTGGTTGTTCGGTTTGTGGAAAAGATAATAATAATTTTCTTTTTTGATTACTGCGAAATGGTTTAGCAACATGAAATACTTCTGCAAGAACGATTACTGGGCAGTATCACATGACGGTTTTGAAAATCCTGACCAAACACATCCGACAAAAACATCCTGAGCTGCATCCGTCTGGTTGGAGCTTTACGATCATGCAAGCGCCCACGTGTCGACGTTGTTGTCTAATTTTTGGCCTGACAAAACGTCGCATGCGTGAAGCAGCCTCTATACATCCCGGATCTTGCTCCTTGTGATTTTTTGTTCCCTCGTCTGAAGTTGGAGCTGTGGGACCAGAGTTTCGGCTCATCAGTGGACGTTTTGAAGAAGTTGGAGGAGGTTCTGAAGACTTTGTCAAAAGATGGATTCTAGCATGTTTTCCAAGACAGACAGATACGTTAGTCCAAGTACAAACAATTCGATGGAAACTACTTTGAAAAAAGCCATATTAACCTGGATTCTGCCTAATGTATTTCATGAGTAGTAAATTCATTCTAATTTTTTTTACTCGCCCTCTTATTAATTGGATTAAGAAAATACTAAATACGTTAAATTTTTAAATACATTATATAAATAATTTTTATTAAATACAGAGTTGGCCCTTCTATCCAAATTCCCTGTGTCCAAATTCTGCTAAAATAAATTATGTTCTTCAGCGTTCATTGCAGTATCAAAACCAAATCAAATTCTAATATTACAAATTTCTTCGAAATGAAAACGCAGTTCAAATGCAATTTATAATAGCAGATATAATGAAAACTATGATACAATGTTTTAGCATTATCTAATAAAAAATGCTAAAATATTACTGTAAAGTATTTTAGCATTGATACTCAAAAAGTATCAGTAATAGTTGATTTAAACTGTGTGCGTGGAAGAGGATGTTGTCGTCGTTTTTTTCGGAGTTTGGTACTTTTATCTAGCAGCAATTCGTTTGTCATAGTCTGTTTTTGTTTGCAAATAAACGCTTGCTTTATGTGTGTAAAAAATTTTTGCACCGGCAATTTTTCAAAATGTTAAATGCAATTGAGTAAAGAAAATGAATTACATTTTGTTTTTGCAACGGAATTACTGCCACAAAAACGTTGCAAATGTTACAAAAAACCTTTGGTGACGACTGTATACAAAAAAACAAGAGTTTTGGAGTAGTACAAGATGCCCAAGGACGACAGAGAACGCGTCGAAGAACCACGTTCTGGTAGATCATCCACTTCAACTGATGAACAACACGTAGCTGAAGTCAGAGATTTAGATAGAAATAAAATAATAGTAAATTATATGTATAAATAATTAAGAGCATAGACACTATATTAAGATTATTTATTAACCAGAAGTGTTAAGCTCTGATTAATAAATAATCTTAATAAACAAAGCAATTTAAGAAATAGATCAAGGAAGAAAACTATGTTAAGAAAGGATTAAATTAAAATACTTTTTCCATTACACAACAAATTTTTTAGCACCAATACATAATTAATTTTTCAACTAATTCTCTCCACATCTCGAATTGTCTTTTTCTTGTAAATTCGTTGTCTAATTTTCCACTGTTCATTTTCTTATTATTTTCTATATATGTTACTAATATTTCTTTTTGTTCTTCGCTTATTTTTTAAAATAAAACAGTGGAGGTTTCCATTTTGTTTCTGGGTACTATATTGCTATAAGACAAAACTTTTAACTATAACACGTGAAAACTAATTCACGTTGATTTGTTTACAACTTCTTACGGTTAAATTGATTGGTCGAATCGTTATAGTCGCAAACTCATATGCATTGTAAATAATCCCATCATGCTTAATTAACGACACACGTAAACAAGTGAATATGACCTACTTCCGCTTGCCTTTCGAGTTCGCTCGATGGGTCTAACTCGAGACTACAGATTATGTGAGTCATGGTAACACGAGTGAGTTCAATGACGTCAATTCGAGTACAACACGAAAAACTCGAGACTAAAGGCTGGTATACACGGTAAGGAAATCCTCAAAGGATGTGCTTAACAGACGAAAAAAACTCGGATATAACTGGCTGGATCGAACATAGTAATTTACAAAACTTATTAAAATATCTCCCAGCGTATAAAGAATTATTTTTATTTAAAAATGGATAGATAGAAAAAAAAATCACGGTTAATCCTCAAAGGATTTCCTTACCGTGTATACCAGCCTTAAGGACCCAGGACAGGCTGGCCATGTGGAGTTTTCCTGGTTTTCTCCACGTCTTTAAGAAATAAATAGGGCCAGTTATCCTTAAAATACCTCCCGGAAGGCATTCTCCTAAGCAGATCCCCAAGTGTTACGTTGCCGTAACTAACAAAACAAACCAACAATCAAGTGAATGTCGCTGGAAAGGTGAAGCATGACCGAAAAGACCACGTCAAAGTCGTGTTGACCGTTTCCTTTTATTGTCGTGGTTTATGTATCGCTGATTCCTTCCGACTGGCCAAACTGTTAACAGAGAATATTATTTGAGCGTTTCCCGACATTTGCGTGAAGCAATTAGTAGAAAACGATTTGACTTGTGGTGAGAAAACATGGATTTAGCTCCACGATAATGCACCTGTTGTTGTTGTCACGATGCTGTTGTTTTTTGTGAATTTTTGGTGACTTGTTACTTTGTAAGTATTTGTGACATTTAAATGTGTTTCAAGTTTAATAGTTTTAATTAATAACATCGAAAATTAATATTAGGATAAATTACACGTTATTTGGACAAGACACCACTTATGAAACAATACTTAATTTTGATTTATAATTTTAATTTACATAATTATTTTGTGAAAATTTATGTAAATTAATTAATTTGCATTAATCTTTAAAATACAATAATTCACAAACTTTTTCCTGTATGTATTATTAATACAAATAAAAATACAAAAAAAATATTTTATTTAAATAGAAGGAACTTGTTTTACTGATAAAAATAGCCTTAGAAATTATTAATGCCATTTTAATATAAAGATATTAAAAAATAAAAATAAAATTAAAACTTACATCGGCTTTAATATCATGAGAAAAATGATTTTTCACATAGATACTTCCTAAAGCATACTCTAATAACATGTTGATTGTTTCTAAACAATACTCATGCAAAGGTTTTTCTCTCTCTGATCCTATAGGATTAGTCATCAGTCCATATTTATAGTCTCGAAAGGATTTTATTGTAAATGAACTAAATCTAAGCATAACTCTCCAACCGATGTAATTTGCAATTACTCTTTAACGAAATTTTTTAAAATATTAACGT